TCGTACCTCCTAGAGACTCGATCACACGAACCAACACACCAAGCAAGACAAGCCTTCACCAAGCACGTCCAACCTCCAACACAACCCACCATCGAACCACCCTCACTCCACTCAAGTACCCTATTCAATCTCACCTCTAACAATCATGCACCACGCCTCTATTCGCCTCATGTCTGTCCCTTGCAGCCTCGCTTCGGTACAACGAGCTTCCGAACCATGCGCATGGTGAAACAAGACCTCTTAGCACCACCATGGTAGTCCTACCTCCCCACTCTGAATATCTTGGCAGCTATAACAAAGAATCAAAGCTGTGATGTTAGAGAATGAAGGTGGTGCGATGATGGGTCGATACATTCGCTGATGGGATTGGGAAGGAGAGTGTAGGTGTGTAAGTGTGAGGCCACCTGCCTGTCTTACCCCGAATTCCTACGCGCGCGCGATAACTCTTCCGTCTTCGTTCAAGAACAATTCTCTGCCACTGCTTCTCTTTCTTCATGCATGTATTATCGATGTGCGTGTATCTGGATATACATAGCACCTGCCAGCGCGATGCGCGTCGTCAAGCCGCCAGTCGCCACATATTGCGGCGCAGTCGTGCAGCAAAGACGGACCGGAGACCGCGGGGATGGAAATAGACGGGAAGTCTGATGTGCATGCGGCGTGGGCGGTTCTATAGGCTGATATGGTTCTGTGGATTGCGACGATGTACGTCTTTGGGATTGGAGAAGACGAGTGTGTTTGCAGGTGGTGTTCGCGACTTCCATGCGATGACGAGGTACGCGCCCCGGTTTCCTCAACATATGTTTTCCTCCATGAATAACACGAGACCTAGCAAAACGAACAAATAGCAATAATCTAACTACCATTGTCTGTCTGCGCCAACGTGACATACCAATCCTTCCGTCGTACACCGTACCTGCGTGACAACCCAACCGCCGCATCTAGAACCCATCAATCGGTGAACGCGCCGAGCCAACACACCAACAAACACTTCCATCCCCATCCCGAATCGGTCACGAGCCGAGGCTACACAAACGCTATTCATGGTTTACGCATGTTTCTTCTCCACTCAACACCACGTCTCCAACTATCGTGAAATCCGACTTCTCAGTACTACTAGTCTCGGAGGCTCGGTGTAGGTTACACTACCAGAAGCAGTATAGCTGCAGCCACCAACCTCCAACCCCACCCCGTAGCTTCGCGGCGGAAACGTAGAAGGGGTCCAACTGCATCGCGGAACTGCCAGACTGGGAAGCCGATACTTGCACGTACCTGCCCCTTCTTGCGGACTTGTCTGCCCTCCCATTCGTGGAAAGACTGGTGATGCGCGACTATGTGGGGTGCTTCCTCCAACTCGCTATGGCGGGGCGGCGTGACGTTCTCATGAATGGAAGTATTATTCACGGGCGCGGTTTGCGTGGTTGCCCCGCACCAATTGCGAAGGAGCGGAAGGGTAAAGTCTGGGTTATAGTAATGGATTAGGTACATGCTGGCAAGCACCAAGCGGTAAAGGCGTACGCTTGCAGACAGGCAGAAAAGAAGGGCCGCGGGAGTAAGTAAAGGTGGCCAGGTGATCTTTATTGACGCGGTTGTCCCCCCCAGTTTTTTGTTTACCTACCCTTTCTATCGGACCTTTCTTGCATCATCCCCATCCTTGCGATTGCATACCTTTAAACGTTCCTTTTTCGTGCGTTTGGTTCCATGGCTTCTCTTCCCCTCTTCACTAGCTGGGCGTCGGAGATTAAGCAATCACTCAACATCAAGGAAGAGACGACCAAGATGAACGGCACACACACTGAGGCTGCTGCTGCGCCGGCGACGAACGGTGTTAGCAAGGCTAATGGCAACGGCACGGATGTTCAGTTCTCGTCAAAGGCTAATATCGGTGTTTACACCAACCCCGCGCATGATCTCTGGGTCGCGGAGGCGGAACCCAGTCTGGAGGTTGTGCAAAGAGGAGGAGATTTGAAGCCAGGCGAGGTTCTTATCAATGTCAAGAGTACGGGAATTTGCGGGAGTGATATTCACTTCTGGCATGCTGTACGTTTTCCATGCCCCTGGGGTTTTGACGGCAGCAGAAAGCTTCAAAAGCTACACAGAGGACGAACAAGTGCTAACTCCATTTCCAGGGCTGCATCGGACCCATGATCGTAGAAGACACACACGTCCTCGGCCACGAATCCGCCGGCACAGTAATGGCCTGCCACGAATCCGTCACGCACCTCAAGCCCGGCGACCGCGTAGCCATCGAACCCAACATCATCTGCGGCGAATGCGAGCCCTGCCTCACAGGCCGCTACAACGGCTGCGAGCGCGTCCAATTCCTGTCTACACCACCCGTCACCGGCCTGCTCCGCCGCTACCTCAAGCACCCAGCCATGTGGTGCCACAAGCTGCCCGACAGCATGACCTTCGAAGACGGTGCCATGTTGGAGCCTCTTTCCGTTGCGCTGGCTGGCATGGACCGCGCGAACATCCGCCTAGGTGACCCCACCATCGTCTGCGGCGCCGGCCCCATCGGCCTCGTCACACTTCTCTGCTGTCAAGCGGCTGGCGCGACCCCCCTCGTAATCACCGACATCGACCAAGGCCGTCTCGACTTCGCCAAAACCCTCGTCCCCGGCGTCCTAACCCACAAAGTCGAATTCAGCCACTCAGCCACGGATTTCCAATCCGCCATCCTCAAACTGACCGACGGCGTCGAGCCCAGCCACGCCATGGAATGTACCGGCGTCGAATCCTCCATCTGCGCCGCCATCCAAACCGTAAAGTTCGGCGGCAAAGTCTTCGTCATCGGCGTCGGCAAGAACGAGATGAAGATTCCTTTCATGAGACTGAGTACCCGCGAGGTGGACCTGCAGTTCCAGTACCGCTACTGCAATACTTGGCCCAAGGCTATCCGGTTGTACAAGTCTGGTGTGATTGATTTGAGCAAGCTGGTTACGCATAGGTATAAGCTTGAGGATGCGGTTGAGGCGTTTAAGACGGCGGCGGATCCCAAGACGGGGTGTATTAAGGTGCAGATTCAGAGTTTGGATTAGGCGTGGGTAGGGGAGTTGAGTGGCGAGAGGTTTCTTTATGATGTATATGACGAAGATGATGATGAAGGGGGGGTTGGTGTGAGGGTGCATTCAGCATTTACATCTTGGCGTTTTTCGGGGAGAGTTCGTCTTGTTGACGATATCTAGCAGAAATGAGATTATGACTCTATGCATCTCCTGTGCCTATATGTGCTGCTCAGCTCAGGTCCTATGCGGTCTGATTGTACGTCCACATACTGCTTTCACCATACGCATCGCTCCATCCATGAAAACTCGCAATGATCCCTCACTCGGGCCCCTCTTCACCTGACAGCAGCTGCTTATCCGGATCGACCACTTTAGATTGATATGGGCCGATCGATATGTCCGCGGATCGATCTACATTCGTTACGAGAGACGTTTATGCCGGCGTACTCCATGGGTGTTTTGGGAACCACAGAGTTGCATTCATCATTCGGCACCGAAGCAACAGAGGAGCATAGAGCCGTAGACATGGATCTGTAGACAGATAAGTCAGTCTTGTGATGACCCAGAAGGAGAGATATGAGGTAAGAGAGTGCTTACATGCTGCTACCATGGAAAGCCGTATTCCTCCGCTAAGGAGACTACATTTGGCGCGTGTACCTTGTCCCAATGTCTATAAAGTTGCTCGCGCTTTACATTACGGATGCGCCGTGGTCATGACTGCATCAAGAGAACGAAGTCGCTGAAGCGACAGTTCGACGTGTGTTCCGACGAGGCTGGCGCGTCATCATGGGTAGATTGGCACGTTGAGTTGAGGGTTGGGGATGATGACGACGGGACCTCGACGCGTTGTCGCACAGACCAATGTCGTCCAATACACGCGTTCCTCCTACACCCCAATCGCTTCTTGCATCTCCTCCTCGCATCCATAACACATGTATGAGTTTCCGCGCACGAATTTCCTCCCGTTCAGTCCACAATCTGCAAGGCCCTGCATGGCCCTGCAAGTCAGACACAAGCTTTATCGTATTAGCAGTGGCCAATGAACCACAGCAAGCCATTTACCCTACTCGTTCCAGCTTCTCCTGCGTAGAAAGGCCCTGCAGGTCGCGCGCAGGTCTCTCGTGGCTCTGCATGTGCTTACTGTCAGCACCCTATGCTCATGTTGCTTTATGATAAGTTTCCTATCGCCTGTCGCGCTTCTTCGAAATGATCCTTCCACCTTTCCTTCTCGACCCTCAACATGCAGCTCCAAAGCGTTTTCTTGCTATGCTTTGCTATACTTACAGAGGCTCGTACGCATCTCGGACGTACTGCCCAGGTGATTGAAGCAAGACAACTCAGCAAAGAGACGGCATACGATTTCATTATTGCTGGTGGTGGCATTGCGGGGCTTACTGTTGCAGATCGATTAACGGAGAACCCAAATGGTATATCCCTTTCACTCTTCGAAAGCTGCAATTAATTCTGAGAGATAGTCACTGTACTAGTGATCGAGTACGGCCCATTCGACCAGAGAGAAGATGGTGTCATGATTCCTGGCGCCTATTTCCCGGTGCCTTACCTCTGGCTGCCCTTGATGAGTACGCCACAAACCGCGCTTGGTGGTACATCGTATGGTGTGCCATGTGGCAGGGTGGTGGGCGGCGGGTCTGTTGTGAACGCCATGTTCTTCCATCGATCAGACGCAGAGCTCTATAACGCTTGGGAAGAACTTGGTGCGACTGGCTGGGGATGGGCTGATCTGTTTCCGTACTTCAAGAAGGTATGGTTTATTCTTGTTTTGTGAGCTGTATGCTGACGAGGAGAAGAGTGAGACGTTTACAGCACCGGACGCGGATTATGCAGCTAGTCACAACATTACCTGGGATGCTTCCGTACATGGCTTTGAGGGCCCAGTGCAGGCTAGCCATGCTCCTTATGACTACCCGGGTAGCGGTGGGTCTCTAGCGACTCAGCTCAGGTATCTGAAAGCTCACTATCAGGGTAGCCAACATGTACACCGGAGCCCTAAAGCTAGGTATCCAGCCAGCCCTAGACCCCAACAATGGCCGCGCTCAAGGCATATTCCGCCTTCTTCGCTCCGTTGATCCCGAAGCCCAGACGCGTTCTTCAGCTCGAGTCAATCGCTATGATAGGGACGCTACGAGGCCAAACTATCATATCCTTCCGAATACGGCGGTATCGCGCATTTTGTTCGAAAACGCCACCGCTGTAGGCGTGGAGTATATTGGCACGACCAGTGGCGAGAAGCACATTGTCCGAGCGAGCAAAGAAGTCATCATAGCTGCTGGAAGCGTTCATACCCCGCAGATCCTGCAACTTTCTGGGATTGGCGACACTACTCATCTGGAGAGCTTGGGTATTGAGACTGTTTCAGGTCTCCCTGGTGTCGGTCGAAATCTGCAGGATCATCTGGTTCTGAAAGTGAATTACAACTGTACGCGACTGAATTCCATACTGTCATTTATGGATTGGCTGATTGATACAGATACATCTAATCACTTTTCAAACGGCGGTTCATTGCAGTCCAACGCCACGTACGCCACAGAACAACGCGCTCTCTACGACGCTGGAAAAGCAAGCGCATTCGACCTCACTGGTACAACTGGTAATCTCATGATTCAGCTGCCGCTTTTAAACTGGACGAACGACTCCGCATCCATCATATCTCGAGCGTCCTCTCTCTCACCGAGCGATGTACTTGGTAGCGATGTCGACCCATCAGTTCTCGCCGGGTATGAAAGACAGCGTGTCATCATCCTCAAGGACATCAATATAGAAGCCGTGGGCGGTCTATCATGGAACACCGGCCCAGAAACGAGCATCTACATGACCCGCCCTCTCAGCCGTGGTTCAATCACCATAAACTCAACTAGCATCCTTGACGCTCCACTCATCGATTACGGCGCGCTGACAGACCCAACCGACCTCGACATGTTATACGCGATCTACATGAAGAACCGCGAACTAATGGCAACATCTGATATTGCCATTCTCGGTCCCATAGAGACAGCACCCGCACCGGGCATCAGCAATGAGCAAGATATCAAGGAGAAGATCAAAGCTGCCTTGCAGCCAAGTAACGCGCATCAGTGCTGTACTGCTGCTATGATGCCAAGAGAAGATGGTGGGGTCGTCGACCCGCAGAATAGAGTCTATGGCACATTCGGACTGAGTGTGGTGGATGCCAGTACGTGGCCGCTTGTTGCTGGTGGTGGGCCGCAGGCTAGTGTTTATGCTGGAGCTGAGAAGGTGAGGTTATGATCGAGGAAAGCTAGTAATTATATATACTAATGATGCGTAGGCCGCGGATATGATCAAGAAGCGTCACGGATTGCTTTGAGATCCGTCTCTTGATGTGCTTGGCGTAAGCCGCGGCGTGGACATGGAGAAGCTGTCGGGGTTTGCGGAGTTATCGCTCTTGACTATCTGTCCGGCGTTGATCTCATCTCACGTGTAGTCTACATCCAATGCATAGTATTCTGAGGCAGCATCGAGGTGTTTATGCGTGGTTACTCAATGGGTTCTCGCAGGAAGAGCTATATATACTTGAACGTACGAGGAGCAGTCCTTCACTTCATCAACTAATCGAGTCGCACTCAAGATGGATACTTCACAGCTTTTCACTGTCGAAGGCATGATTGCTGTGGTTACAGGCGGAGGCACAGGTACCTTCTCTACTCAACCATCTCATCTCATCTCAATACCAAAACAAACACAACCACTAACAGCACCCCAGGAATCGACCTCATGATAGCCCACGCCCTCGCCTGCGCCGGCGCATCCAAAGTATACATCCTCGGGCGCCGCGAAGACGAACTCTCCACCACAGCCTCTCAACACGAAAACATCATCCCACTTCAATGCGACATTTCATCCAAAGCATCCCTGCAAGCTGCCGTAGACTTCATCGCCCAAGACACAGGCTACATCAATATCCTCATCGCAAACTCCGGTATCTACGGTCCATCCTCAAGCTTCGCTCCGGGTCTCAGCATCCAAGAGCTGCGAAAATCCATGTTCGAGAACACATCTATGGAAGACTTCACGCAGACCTTCCATGTAAACACCACCGCGACGTACTTTACCATGCTGGCTTTCCTCGAACTACTGGGTGCAGGGAATAAGAATGCCAGAGCCGGTGGGTTTGGTAGACCGTTGAAAGAAGGTAGTAAAGTACCAAGCATCCAGTCACAAGTCATCATTACATCCAGCGTAGGCGCCTTCCTGCGTGAGTGGCAATGCGCGCCAGCATACGCAGGTAGTAAAGCAGCAATTATGCATCTGGTCAAACACACCAGTACGGGGCTTGCGCCGCATGGTATCAGAGTCAATGCTCTGGCGCCTGGATGTCCATCTTCCCCTCCCCGCAAACCTACCGTTCCGTGGCTAACAGCATGTCAGTCTTCCCATCTGAGATGGCCAATGCAGTTATCCAAGGCAGAGACCCTAGTACAGAGAGCGTCGACGATCCGAACTTCATTCCTGCCCGAAGATTTGGCGGAGAGGAGGAGATGGGTGGGACGGTTTTGTATCTTGCGAGTCGGGCGGGGAGCTTTTGTAATGGGTTGGTGCTTGTGAATGATGGGGGGAGGTTGGGTGTTACGACGAGCAGTTATTAAATATGGTAAGGGTACGGGCCATGTATGAGCAGCTGCCATGTCAATATGAAGGCAAGCTGTATATTCTCTTATTTCCAGCCCTGAACGAGAGTAATCGCGACGCCGTTGCATGCGTGCTGTGACTATGACATCACAGACGCTGAACATCCACCGCCTGATGCACGTCGTTTGCGATACTTCCGCCGATCATGCCGAGCAGCGTAAGCTCTTTTTCCGACCAAAGAGATGTTTAATGTCCGACCGGCTAGCAACAGCTGTAGGACGAAGGAAGACAAGGCTGAGCGAGAGAGCCTTCACCCCAGCGTTTCTCAGCGGCAAGCGCTATGACAGGTGGACGACGACCCACCATCTACTGTCCACCGCCATCCCTAACCCCCAAACCAGCCTTTCACAAAATCCTTCGATACCACAAACCCTCCTTCTAGCTCCCAACCCATCACCTCTGTGTCCCCCCACCCCCTCCCGGCACCACTTCCCCCATCCACACGCCATCACACCGCCCCTCGGCCCCTTTCCCCATCCACCACACCACCCTCCTACAACACACATGCAACGCTCTTGGGATAATCCCCGTAGACACGCCGTACAGAAGTGGAGCCTCATACTACGCATCCAGTCCTGCATGGTCTGCTGTGCGACACCTGCTGACCGGCTTTGTGCGTGTGTGACGGGCTGTCGTGTGTAACGCGAGCAGGGAGGATATGCCTGCACCTGCCCTGCGGCAGGGTCCAGATGCAGCCCGGACCCGTGTTCTGAAACGAGCGTTTGTTTACTGCGTTTGGTTGTGTGGGTTGGGAGCGGTGTGTAGCCTGCGATGTATGTATGTGGGGAGACGGAGGTGGAAAGCGGTATGCGGAAGAGAGATTGGTGGTTGGGGTGTGTCGTTACGAGGTGGTGTGGGTCTGTTTTCGGGGTTTTGCAGCGAGTATTTGGGGGAAAGTGACATGCGATCAGGCGTGAGCTGAGGTGTCTGCAAAACAGGCAGGGATATACTGTTGGAGTGTGGTTGCGCAGCTCAAGGTAAACTCTTTGGAGAAGCAAGAACGTGCATGTCTTCTTTGGAACAACGTGAGAGTGGTGAGCAACGCGCGTCAGGTGGTGACAGTACCTTACTTCACTCTGCAGGTGGAACCGTGGGGTTGAAGCTCGTTACGATTATCATTATTCGCTCATGACACCTTTTATGCTAATCAGTACAAGGTATCCGGTACATGACCTCCTATGTTTCCGTGGTATCGCATGCGCAGCAACCTTATACACACTAAGCTTGCGACATGTGCTTTTCCCAATTTGAGCGAGTGTGAACGTGATAAGAATGCGGGGTGTGTTTTAAGGAGCGGCCCTGGCGTTTTGTCTTGATGAGAAGACATGGTAGTGATACTGATGTACAGGAATAGACATTAGCCGCCCAAGCAAAAAACAATCGTAACGTTTCGTAGCGTAGCAATGATGCTGAAAGCAATGCAGTGTAGAACATCGAGACGAATACATAGCGTTACAACACAGTGTTGAATAAGCAGAAAGGAAACATGGTTTGATGAACGCCAACCGGAAATGGCTCACCGGTTGCTGAGGACAATGCGAAAGCGTAACGTGAACCGGGCCGAGAGCCATGCTCATGATGATGACGGAGTGCTCGACGAGTCGATTGCCCGGACTAAGATGCAGAGAGGGAACAGCGTGCTGGCTGGAGCTCCCCGTCCAAGGATGCAGCGATGTGAGATGTTGTACATTGTCATAAATTCAGACCATTAAGTACCCCATGGTGGGCAAAAAAGGATTGGGCTACGCAATAGTGACGAAGTAAGAAGAGTGATGCAGGCAGGCTGATCCGCCGTGATGCTGAAGGGGGTATCTCAGTAAGTGCTGTTGAGGTTTCCCATTGAGGTGCGGTGGAGCTGCACAGGCTGCATGTTCCGATTCTGGCACGACTCGCGATGCAAGCTGCGATTTCCTGGGGAGCTCCGTGTTTGACTGTGGCTGAGAGGTGTGTAGCGATGACCACTGACGAGTGTGCAATCGCTCGATGACTCGCCACTTAGCGAGTTCCGCTTTGACGACGAGTCAGGGCTGTAGCTGTATAGATTCGTCTGTGAGGCTGGGCGTGTCATTGGGCGTGTCTCACGGACATAGGAGTAGTTTGTCGCTGGAGCTGGCGCACTCATGCCTTCGAGAAGACCAGATGTACTGAAGTTCAGCTCTAGCTGAGATGCAGCGGTGGTTGCAGTCGCATCGTCCGCGGTCGACGTTGTATTTGGCATGTAGCTCATCCTGCTCTCCGCGTTGTCTGGCATGACCGGGGATATTAGTTGCGTAAAAGCATCTGCAGATGCTGCCCCGGATGCATTGGCGTGACTCTCGCTGTCGGTAGTCCACGGTAGTAACGATTTCGCGAAAGAGCCTCTACCGTCCATACCCGAAGTGCCAATAGCCTGGGCCGAGCGGAGACGAGCATCTTGCATCTGGTCTACAACATGACTGCTCTGAGCTGGGCTCGGTTGTGGCATTGGCAGTTGTCTCCTAGGCACACTGGAATCCAGAGGGAGAGGTTGTCGTGGATGGGGCCTCTCAGGGATAGTCAATTGCAGAGAAGACATTCCGGTATTGAGAGGGGATACGTCCGAAGGTGTGGCTAGTCGACCGTTTGTATGAGCGAATTGCAAGTCCTGATCAAAGTATGTGCTTCCTTGCTGCAAAGACTTCGCAGTTGGCTGAGTCCAGCGATAAGCAGGCGTGTACATGTTTGTGTTTGCGATTGCTGTAGACTGTGGTAGATATGCGGGTGGCTGGTCGAGAGGGTAGGCGTCAACCGGCGATGTGTCTTCTGAATAGGGTAGAGTCCATGCTGAAGAATAGGCCGGCTTCGAATCGAGTTGCGAATACTGCTGATTTGGCATGGGGCGCGCATAAAGACCGCTATTGCCTCCGGTAGAGTACATGGACATCATGTTGTTATGCGCGGTAGCCATACCACTGAGGCTGTAAGCCATGCTTCTGTCGTCTAGCACTTTGTGGACGGAATCGGATCCCACCTGACTGAATGAGTGAATGTACAAAACGCAAGCAACTAACGTACTCTGTGGAATTGACAGCCTGCCGGTTCTACTCCAGCCGTTCGACAGTTGACGCACCCAATACCATTTCCAGGATCGCCGCTGCATCGAATCTTCCTCTTACGGCAACGCGCGCACTGGAGAAGATGTTAGTAAAAGTAGGAACAGCATTGATGGAAGAAATAGTTGGGAAGGCAGCGAGAAATTGTGTTCTTTGTGAATGCTTCCGAAATCGTTGAAACCCATGTTGACATACCGCTACTGCAATGCGACGTCTCGCTGGCCCATTTCCCATCATGGGTTCTTCCATGCTGGCTCTGTTATGCATACCGCCCACTGGGCCGCCCATGGGATAACCTCGTGGATTTTCTCGCGTATTGTGGGCTAAGGACAGCGGAGCATTGCGATCGCTGTACATGTAGTTCGGATAGGACAGGTTGTGAGGCAAACAGCGTCGCGGACTGCCGTACTCCATGACTGACATACTGGCGAATCAACTGAACGTCAGCTATTTCATTCATCATGACCTGAAGTTGACTTACATCTTACAAGGATACCAACAAGATCGACTGTTGGCGAATTACCCACAGGTATGATTCGGATAGCGTTCGCGGGATGCAACGCCCGAGTCAAGAAAGGGCAGTAGTTGGTGACTGGACCGTGGGCGCTCCTCCAGGGAGAAAGTGTAATGAACCGGTGAGCAGGTCATACGATGATCGGCTGGCAGGATTATGTTTATAACCCAAACGAGTTCCTTGCGTCGGCAAAGACTGTTATACTGGATAAGAGAATGATGCAGGGCGAACGTGGCTCCAAAGAATGGCTTCGAGAGTGAGTGTTGATCAGGAATTTGTTTGTGACCTCTGTCCCCCATGAGGGCTATCTCGTTAGTGCCTCCGGACACCTGCATGCATGGACGCGGTACGGTGACTGTACAAGAACCTGGGCCTGCGCTTCCAAGAGAGCACTGGCCAAGCCCCGCGGAGAGAAAGACAGGTGAAACATTGTACGGCCTAGGTCCTGTGAATACTTCTTCATGACAAGCGCCAGAGCCGAATCAAGACCCATGAAGTATGTGATGTGGCCCCCACCCCTTCCTCGATGGGGCTATCTCGTAGTCGTGAGGCTTTAGCAGATACCCAATCGGACAAACACTGATGACTTTTCCCGTTACAAAGAAGCCACGTTATCAGCTAGGCTTGATCTTTCGCAAACAGTCGATGGATGTTTGTAACTGACATAGTGTTACCGCGGATCCGGGATGTGAGGCACGGATTTGACAATTTCAATCGACTTGCCCTAATCCAGGACGAGTGCGCCAGGCTCGCAGGGGTGTCAAAAGAGTTAGTGCGCTACACTTGCGAGGAACGGGCTTTCTGTGAGGAATAACACGCTGTCGACCAGCGAAACAACCTACTAAGGACTCTCAAGTCTCGTAGTACTGCTTGTAGCATATGTTGGCACATTTGATCCTAGGAAGGGTCTGTTGTCAGATCAACTAATCGCTTCGAGCATACATGGCTTGCGCTGAAACGTACCTGCAGATAATAGCCAGCCTCCTTGAAGACCCTCTGATTGGCTGACTGACGAGCCAATACCGCTGGTAGTACCTCCGATCACGTCATTTGCTAACAATCTGTTCAACCCTACAAGTTTGGCCGCTGAGGATGGTCCAGGGAATTGGCAGAGGATTGTACGATTGGCGATCCAACAGCCCTGCACTGAACATGTATGCTACCGCTGGCATCTATCCCACAGCCCCACGGCAAACGGATATACGGGGGGAAAGCTGGGGTAAGGTTCCGGTGGGTCCTATGCCTATTATGGATCGCGGTGGACGAAAAGAACTGGATCCGATGATGGGCCGGCTTCCAGATGGTACCACGTAGAGCCGATATGAAGATGATGCTACGTAGCGTATCTCAAAGTAATGAACCGTGTTCACTATGAGTGACTTATCCGAGCGCGCTCGAAGCTTGAGTATGCCAGGGGGTGAAACAAACCTGCTCTGCACCTCGAGGGCCCTAGAAGTAGTAGCGCTATGACATATGGTGAGGACCGCGATTGCTCGATCTGTCGATGTAACAAGCCAATGTGCGCAGCACAGGCCAGCGCCAAGCTGCAAGCAAACTTCGATGCGCATCCCATGTAAATGACCCATCATCGTAAGGCGATCTTTCTGGGCTCAAAGCTCCATACCCCGGTTCAATGCATCGATGCGCATTAGCTTGTGCGTCAAGTCGCACAGTCATGTTGGGTCAGGCTATACCCGCATCCGGTCTGAAGCCCGTGGGGTTGGGATGACAGGCAGATTACAAGGCTCGTGGATCCATCGTTGCTGTGCGTCTCTGGAAAGTTAGGTTGCGAGTACGCATGAGCGAATTGCTGAAGCTCCGTCTTCGCAGTGACAGTGTCACCACACCTGTAATTGTCAGGCATGCTGTGTCGCCTCCCTGGAGCAGAAGAGCTCCTGCAATCTCAAAGACAGCAGTGATAACAGAGACTCCTCCACTTTGAACGAGATAATCCCGCAGTCCTCGAAAAAGGATGAACTGGTGGCTCTGATCTGGGCTGGCTATCAGGCTTCGGCTGGTAGCAAGTCGAAGCGAGAAGCAGAGGACCGCTCCAGGTTTTTGACAGCCGGTGGTGGTGGTGGGGATATATGCCCAATATACAAGACGATGCCCTTTGGTCCAATGCTCCTGACGGACGGGGCCGGGGATTTCGGATCGATATGCAGCAGGCAATGCAGTGGCTGCCCGAATCTGTGTGCAGGGATAGCCGTCAGACGCCGGGTAGCACTCAACGGTCCGCCTCTCAAAGGTACTCAGAGCTCTTTCTTGGTACTCGCACTATTTCCGGACAATGGCTTGACAAGCGTGGAAGCCTGCATCTCCCAGGTGCATCCTAAGTTCGATCTGTCAACGCCGGTAGTGTATGCATCAGGACGCTGCTCTTGCATGTGGACAAGCGGGACCAAACGACGATCTGAAGCGCGGGCTGATGTCAAGGCTGCTGGGGCACGTTGCCCAGGGAGTATTGGCTCAGCAGCTTGCAAGACGTGAAGGTGGAGAAACGCGACATGTACCTGGAGCTAGACCAGATTGGGCGTTACGTCATGATGACTAAGCGTCAAGGCTACGCGATCTCGGATGCTGTCGCGCGCGTTGGCGAACCTTTGCGACAAACACTCGTTCTCGGCACAACATAGCCCAAACCATGTCTGTGCTGCTGGAAACGTCACTCGGAGATATCACCATCGACCTGTTGGTCGACGATGCGCCCAGATGCTGTGAAAAGTAAGTCATCCAATCCCTATCGCGCGCCTTGGGTTTTCGCACCTGCATGCTGCATGCTCCATCCCGCTGTCGCCCCAAGCTGAGCATAAACAGACACTGACAATTTGTCGCCTTAGCTTTCTCAAGCTGTGCAAAGTCAAGTACTACAACTTCGCCCCCGTTCATAGCGTCCAACCAAACTTCTCCTTCCAGACTGGCGACCCCATCGGCCCTGGGTCCAAAGACAGCGACGGCGGTCGCTCAATATGGGGCTTGCTCGACCCCGCACAGCCCGCGAAGAAGACGTTCGTACCCGAGTTCAAGCCAAAGCTCAAGCATGCTGAGATGGGAACCGTCAGCATGGCGACCGCGCCGAACCCCGAAGATCCAGACGAGCGGTTCGCCGGCAGCCAGTTCATCATAACGCTGGGACAGAACATCGACTACCTGGACGGCAAGGCGGCCATATTCGGAACAGTGGTAGAGGGTTTTGACACGCTGGAGAAGATAAACACGGCATATATCGATGACCAGGGCCAGCCACTCAAAGACATCCGCATACTACACACAGTCGTCCTCGACGACCCATACGACGACCCCGCCGGCCTCGTGGAGCCACCCGAGAGCCCTGTACCCACCGCCGCGCAGCTCGCCACCGTCCGCGTCGCATACGATGAGAACCTCGAGGAGGACAACGACCCGGAAGCCCTGGAAAAGGTCCGCAGAGAACGTGAGGCGCGTGCACAAGCCCTCACGCTCGAGATGGTAGGTGATCTGCCATTCGCCGAAGTCGCACCGCCTGAGAACGTGCTGTTCGTGTGCAAGCTCAACCCAGTGACGCAAGACGAGGATCTGGAGCTTATCTTTTCGCGATTCGGCAAGATTCTCAGCTGCGAGGTCATCAGGGACAAGCGCACAGGTGACAGCCTGCAGTACGCCTTTATCGAGTACACCAATCAGAAGGACTGCGAGCAGGCCTATTTCAAGATGGATGGTGTTCTCATCGACGATCACCGCATACACGTCGACTTCTCCCAGTCCGTCTCCAAGATTGCCGACGATTGGCGGGACGTTACGAACAAGAAGCGGAGACGGGCTGCCGGCGGCTTCGGTGGTATCGACAACCTCGAGAAGAAGAAGCAGTATCGCGATGGCTCCGGACGCCAAATCATGTCGGATTCTGTTGTCAACAACTTGGTGGCCGATCGCGACGTTTCAAAAAATACCGCGCCACGGCCGAGGGATACCGGTAGAGATGATCGACGAGACGACACACGGAGGCGTGAACGGAGGACGGAATACCACGACGACCGCTTCAAGCGGAATCGGAGTCGGAGCCCCAAGCGCGAACGTCGCGATGGTGATGATGGAAGGTACAATCAGAGGAGAGAGCGAAGTCGTAGCCCAAATCGCCATCGTGACAGCCGTCGGGAGAGGAGTCGGGATCGCTATCGCCGGGATGATCGGGACCGCCGGCGATGAGGCCACCATTCTGTAGATCGAGGCGCCTTTGGTGTTTGGGATTAGGGCCAAGATTGGACCGTCAGTATTGCGACGTCTGGCTGGTCCTTCTAAGTAGTTAATGCAAATCCTCATAAATTACCAACGCGAAACACGAATCTGGTCACATCTTATCGCGCGGTCAGGTATCATGTATAGTCTAGTTGCTTTTCGATATATTCTATAGGTATCTTCTATTACTTTAGGAAATGACTGGCTTTAATGTATATTTGTTAATGACCGAAAGCAGAATCGAAAATAAACTTCATACGTTGACTACCGTGAGCTTTCCAAGCGTGTGTAACATCGTAGTTGAGCATGCAACTATTGAGCGTCTGTTACGTTACGCCGGCGATTTACTTCAAGGTGCTGCCCATGGAGGAACAGCACGTGTGAGTGAGCCAGGCGTCGTATCACACGGCGACTCGATGGTAGGACAGTCTTCTCTCCTGAACATTTGCGATGTTTACCAGCCGATGAGGCTTTCGGTAGTATGCTCAATCGAGAAAGTTGGCTATCGTCGGTTTCCGGTAGTGAGGCGTGGTATATTGTTTGAGGCTTGAACTCCCTGTCCCTTCAACCTGAGACGGCGGCGGTATCATGCTCTGCTTCCTCAGCACCGTCCTCCTCTTCATCGCCGTTCCCCTCCTTCTCAGCCTCGTAAAGATCGAGCAGCTCATCACAGCACGACCACCAAGTAGTCTGCATCTCCAGCTCCTGATCCAGTGCCTCAAGAAGACCCTCAGGCGGCATAACGGGCTCGAAGATGCGCGCAAAATGCGTTTTGAGCAAGTTCTCCGCAGATACCCAGCCACCCCGACCCAGCCCCCTAATGAACGTCCAATAATTCAAACGACAATGAGGTATCTCGCGGAGTAACTTGTCTATGAGGCCCTCTGCGTACCCACCTTGGGTTACTGCGGCGATAGCGGCTTGGTAGAGACCCGACTTGAGCGTGAATTCTGCGTTTTCGGCATCGCTGGCTTCTTCTATGGCGGCGGCGTAGATTTCGCGGTAATGTTCGTGGTTCCATGCCATGTACGGTGATTTATCGAGGCCAAATGTGTATTCTGGAAACCAATCGCTTCGGAGAAACATGGGGACGGCTGTGGCGCCGATGCAGCGTGGTGCTGCCATCGCGTTGTCCCAGTCGATGATACCTGTGACGTTGCCCTCGTCGTCGCAAAGAATGTTCTGCAGATCTAGATCATCGTGATGGAGGGTGAAAGTCTCGCCAGGCTGCCCGCGGAATACCGACTGGTGATAGAAGATAAAGTAGAGGATGTCTCGGACGCCACGTTCTTCACGCCCATCGTCTTCTTCCCATGTTTCGTTGCATAGGCGTTCGATGTTGTCAGCACTCATCTGTCTTATCTTGGCTCCAAAGCGGGCTCGAATGTACTCCTCAGTTGTAGCAGCCGGTGGACGCTTGAAAACCTCATCGCCATCTTCGTATGTACAGTGGCACGTGGGTCCAATACCAATGAAATTGCCGTCGTCGTCGAAGTTAGGTGCTCCAATGGCCTCGAATTTAAGGGTCTGAATCTGAATCATTACCCGTGCCAAAGAGCGTAGGAACTTGAGACGCTTCTTTTCGATATGGGGAGGCGGGACATCCGCATGTTGGAAAAGCTCATTATCGACGGAGGGATAATCTTCTGGAAACCAGATATTGTTCGCAGGCGTGCCGGGTAACATCGTCATTAAGATGTACGGGAAACCAAGCGCGTTGTCGTGTCCAGTGGAGTAGTCAATGACCTGTGCGACAGGTGCGTTTGTATTCTTGCGAATGTACTCGATTAGCTGAGCTTCGTTCTTCAGCACGTAGGAGTCTTCCTCCTGCCAGTGTGCGCGCGTACCGTGGCCAGGCACGCGGACAACGTACTTGCGAGTCTGCTCGCCTTCACAAACAGTGACGAAAGTCGCTGCATTGAAAGTGCCTTTCGCACGGCGCACTACGTCAACAGTAGTGGTGGGAGAAGACGAAAGATCGCAGGCCTTGATCAGTTCGCGGTACTTTGCATCGGGAATTGCCTCAATCGTCTTGAAGTCGCAACGCGGGCCGTCACCTTCATCTGAAACGTCTTTATTGGTATTCGCGCTTTGACAATGCTTGTCCTTGTTAGCACCAGGAAATGTACCCGAGTCAATAGCGGCGTCATTGTGTTTTGGCTTGTTTGAACCGGAGTTGGAGGGTCGGGAGGCCCTATGTTGCGTGAAAGCGATCTTCTTCCAGAAAGCCTTCAGACAGCCTGGCAAACGAAGTGTCTTTTCTTTCTTCACGGGAAGCTGCTTTGGCTTCGCAGAGATCTCGCCTTCGGTTTGGATCACGGTATTTGATGGGGCCTCGCAGGCGATAAGTACCGGCGAGTGCACAGACAGGCTGTCTTGCTTCTGGATTGGTGATTGCTCTGGATCCGAACGCAGTTCGGGAGAAAGAGAGATGCCTGGCACGAAGAAGTTCTCGCCGCAGCTAAGACGTGGGAGAGAATGTTCGGTTGCAGCCGTTGACTTTGAAGACGATGGTGAGTTTGGATCAGTATTGCAGGCTTCTGAAGTGTGAGAAGAACCCGTCGTGGCTGTCGGCGTGTCGCTTGGTAGACGAATTGGAGAGTTCGACTGATTCGTCAAGGACGGCTCTTCAGAAGTTTTGCGGCCCAGGGTAGTAGATAATGAGTACTTTATGGCTTTGCCGATTTTGAACACCCGTTCTAGTGGGCTACGCAGAGTAGCATCAGACGTGTTGGTGGTGGAAGGCAAGGTCGTAGTCGCCGCGCGCCCACCCTTCTTGTTCTTAAAATCGAACATTGGTGTAAAGGTATACTGATTCCGTTCGAGATGATCTGCGCGCACAGAGAGGAGTTCGGTGGTCAAGTATTGGTATCTCAAGGAGTGAGTGTTGCTGTTTTGGAGGTTGAGTCGCCAACTCTAGACAAAGGGCCAGTAGCGACAAAGGCGCGAAGGGGAGAATGTATATTGAGAAAGGGTCGCAACTACAGTGAATGTACGTTAGTACGGCTGGGCCTTTTGTGGGACCAGTGCGTGAATCACGCTGGAAATGACAGACGCTCGTGCACAGGAAGCATCGGCGTACTGAACCAAGACCACTACCTGAGCCTTGGTGTTTGTCAACAAATTTCTACCATGTGAGTGAATTGAACAGTAAGCGCTTATTCGATCACTGAAGCGGTCACCTCTAGGTTCTGGACCATGTAAGACATCTCGCGGTTCTGTGTCGGCCACATACCACATACCGTGTAGTTTCACAATGAAGGAAACAAGGTACGGGACCAAGACCTAGCTGTATTACATTGCAGATGATGCCTTTGATCTTCTAAGATGCCGATAACGTAGAAGGGGATGTCTTCGTGTCTGACGTTGACCCGAAGCTGTCCGAATCTGTGGATGTAATAGTCTCTCAGCTGTATGATGTGTGAAAGTCAACCGTGAACTCTAGAATCGGTACGAGGTCTTATATGTTTCATTAGCTTGGTGAAAGGTGTACCACCAGAGCGCAGGCAAGCGTAACAAGGCTGGCTGTGGCAACCCAGTTGCAACTGTTGCGTTCACCCCTGGTGCCTCGCAGTATATCAAAAGGTCATTTCTCTGCTATTAGTATACGCGCACAGTTTACTCCACAACCAGCTCTCCTTCGCAGCACTTTCAACCTTTCGACCAAAAGCTGTAGCCCCTCTGACAAGAACATACGCACACACAGAGCACCTAAACCTGTGATACATACCCACTCTTACCGAATCTTTCCGTCCCTTATTCTTTGGGCACCCAGTCTTGAAACCGCCATCCCATCCGTATCCTCGGCCTCAACACACAGCCGTTTTAAAGCCCTTGTACTTTCCAGTCCTTTGAATAACAAACATTGCCGGTCTAAAACTAGGAGGTAATTCAAAATGCCCACATTCAAGGGTTGGAACAGTAAGCACGGCGCTTCGGAGTCGAAAAATGAAACGAAGGTCAAGCCACTCCCTCCTCGACTCACTTTCACGGAGCAGACACAACCGGATGACTCCATCATCAAAAGTCTTGACGACCTCTATTCTAAGACGGTCAGAGTTTGGAGAGGTAGAGATTGGAACAATGATGTGAAGAACGGTGCCACAGGCGCATGCTTCGACTCATCCCACCACGTGCCCGGCGAGGGTACTAAGAACCGTGCGGCTTTCAAGGCTGGCAAGTTTGGCTTTTGCCTAGAATGGATCGACTTTCCGTACGAGGGTGAAGTCTATCGTGTCAGGTGCATGAAAGCGTTCTGCGTAAGATCGCCGCAATGTACAGACCACCCCAAAGCAGTATACAAGGACGGCCCAAACCGTATCTATGATCTCATGAATTGGGGTGAGAACGTCACATATGGTATGATCAAAGATACCGGAGCTCCAGCAATCCCTTTGACGGATTCCCAGCGGAAGGAGCAGGTCCTGGAGGAAATTGCGGAGGTCAAGGCTAAATTTGTCGAGGCGTACGAAAGAGGCGAGCTTGCGACTGCCAAAGAATTGGAACGTCGAGTCTCTAACCTTGAGAGAGCGCTGAAAAACAAGAGTTACTTGCACGAGGACAGATCAATCGCCGCGCCCCAACCCTCTGCGTCTGCCACTATTCTCAACGCTCGGAGGGCTGTGAGCAATTCAGCCCCAGGTAATCCAGACCTTGACGCCAAGGCCAAGCGTAATCTAAACAATCCCAAGACGAATAAGGGCAAGACGGACTATACAAAAGCCCTGGGTTCGATCAAGGAGCGTCCGGGTTCTTGAAGTCATGTTCGCTCATGTTTCCAAAACACCCAAAGATTCGTTTGTAGGGACGCCTTGTACCCGCGGTTGATGTTGTCTTTGATTGTCGCGAACCCGGTGCCCAGCAAAATATAGCGAGCCTGATGGTTGTATTTTCGTGTAGCGCAAATGCAAAGTATAATCAGATTAATCCCAAAACTATCTCTTTCTAGTCGGTGACGTATGATAGCTTTCCAAGTGGACTGAGAGAAGACGTGCGTAGACTGCTGCATGCGACGTTGGTGAAACACAGCGAGGCATCTGTAGTTGTAAATAGGCGGTCGATGGTCTTGTGCCGCGGCTCGATCGTCCAAGCGTGGATAATGACGCGCATCGTATAGTGGCGGAGTGAACCCATCGTGATGCACCTGGAGGTAAGTACATTCACCGCGCTGATGTGAACGGCAACCACGGGCAGCTGTCCAGCAAGCGCGGCGCCTTTACCTTTGCGTCATTTCGCGAACGAGCTTAATTCGTGTCGCTCGCGAAGACAAGGCGGGAAGATGTGTAGCAATTTGCAACCGGAAGGGCGAGGATGGAGTGAGGTGGAAGCGTGAGGAAGCGACCCCCAACGGGAAAGCAGGGCCAGCCCACCACCAAGACACGTGATAGCGCGGCTGCCGAGACCAAAACCACAACACCACAGCATACACACAAATTGACAATAGCATCGTCATATTTCTTCTTAATTATCTACTCAGCACCCAGACTCAGCCAACGCGCAGCAACGCAACAACGTGACTCTATATTCCCATCTCATGCGTCTCATTTTCCCACCAGCAAGTAAAAAAGAAAGCCCCATCGAAACGCAATTTATAGCGGGCTATGTCTTTCTAAACATGCGCAAGCATCCATCTCTCAAAAAGAAAGCCCCCGATTATGTTGTAAGGGCGCGCAAAGCAGTAAACTCGATAAAACAACGCTCCGCTTCCAAACGCCCATGCGCAATTTTCTTCCTACAGTAAGTTCGGTGAACAAAAGCAAGTGAAGCAATGATTAAACGCCAATTTCAAACGACCCTTGACGTAAGATGGAAGGACGAAGGGTGTTTGATATGCAATCTTGAACCGCGTGACAAGTAGCAAAAGAAACGCGTGAAAACAGCAGGTTTTTGGTGCCACACCGTGCAGCTTCGGATAATAGTGGTACAAAAGCATGAAAAGAGCCTCATCACTCATTGCGCAAATTCCATGTTTGTATGGTAGTAGTAGGGAGGATTGCCGTGAGCCTAGTTAAAGGAACAGCGTACCAACCACACGCACACATCAAGCCATGGCAGCAAAGAGAGAGAGGAGGAAAAGAACATTTTCATACACAAAAACTAGAAGAAGAGATCGAGAGAGAAAAAAGAAGGCTCCGATACCTACATCGCCATCAAGCCGACTATTGCTTTGGAGATCTGGATCAGACGTTAGCACGTGCAAGATAAACGGAGGGTTGTCTACAACTATGACCAAAGGGGTACTTACGTAGGAGAGTACGCTCCGCCCGGAGAGGTAGGGCTGTAGCGCGGAGAGGTAGGTGAGAAGGAGCCTGCTGGACTCGTGGGCGAGTAGCGAGGAGACGTCGGGCTGTATTGCGGCGACGTGGGTGAAGTCGGAGACTGCCTGTTGCTGCTCGCTTGGTACTGAGGGCTTGTGGGACTGTACTGCGGCGATGTGGGGCTGTATTGCGGCGAAGTCGGGCTGTACGCGGGGGACGTCGCGCCACCCATGAACGTAGGGGACGTTGGGCTGTAGTTGGGCGATGTGGGAGAGTATTGAGGCGACGTCGGGGAGTAGCCAGCAGGAGATGTGGGCGAGTACGACGGTGATGTGGGTGAGCCGTATCGAGGCGATGTAGGCGAGTAGTGCGGGGATGTGGGCGAAGCCATGTATCCTGGTGATGTTGCGGCGAAACGAGGGCTGGCAGTACCAGGCGAGGTAGGCGAGTAACCAGGCGAAGTTGGTGAGAAGCCTGGAGACACTGGGCTGGTAAAGCCAGGGGACATACCAGTGAAGCCTGAACCACCCGGACTTCTGCCTCCGTCGTACCCGCCGGGGCTGAAACCACCACCTCCGTACATACGACCATAGTCAGTGAGACCACCGGAATCGTCACCTCCACCAGCGGCAGCCATAGGAGAGAACGAAACCTGATCGTAAGAGCCGACACCCATGCCACCCTCGTACGTAGGAGAGCCCAAGTCATAGGGTGTGTTGGCTCCGTCACTCAGGTAGTTGCCAGCGCCAGCAGCGCCACCCATCATCTTGGAGTTGTCCTCCACCATGGTGAGAAGCATGGCATTGTCCATGACCACGTCAAACTCTCCGGTACCCATAGGCGCCAACTGACCGAGCATGATGTTCTCAGATACACCACGGCAGTCGTCTAGCTCACCAAATCCGGCAGCTTCCAGGAGAATCTCGACTGTCTCTTCGAAAGAACAACGCATAAGAGCACCAGTGTCGTTACGGTTGATACCGTGACGGGTGATGGCCATGAGAAGACCACGCTGGCACATGATGTCGACGAGCAAGGCCATGTGACGATGGTTGACGTAAGAACCGTCGAAGGACAAGACCATACCAAGCTCCTTGAGAAGACCTGCACGAGCCGCCTCGATTCCAAGAACAGCGAGGATCTCGATGAAAGAGTTGGAGTAGGTCTTGGTGGCATCCACGCCCTCAATGGCAAGCACCTCGGCCAGTGCAGTACCTGTGGTATCGAGCACCCACTCCTTACACTCGTCCTTGTTCTTTGAGTGTACAAGAGATTTGTCTGCCAACTCAACGGTAGTGATGTGGTCTCGGATGAAAGCACGCTCGATACCACGAACACCACGTAGCGTAACGTCATCGAGAAGGTGCTTCTCAAGCTTGCGCATCCATCGCTCGTCACGCTCGTCCTCATCCTCGTCATCTTTTTGGAGGTTCTGGTCCCAGATGAAACGAACACGCATGACCTGCTCGTCGGCGTTCTCGTCACTGAAGATGACTGCCAGATTAGGCTTGAACTCTTCCTTGATCTTGCCGGCAACTTCGCCAATGGTGATACTCTTGTCCAACAACTTCTTGCGGTCGAGGATGATTCGAAGCAGCCACTTGGACTGGGACTCAATAACTTCGTCCTCTTCGGGAAGAATGAAGTAGGACTCAACCATGTCCTGGTCCTCCTCAACTAGCGTGGACTGGATGTCGGGGTCGTAGTAAAGCTCAACAGCTTGTGTCAATGAGCGGAGGGTTGTGAGCTCGATGGTGCTTCGCAGGCGCTTGGCATCCTGTTGGCTGGCTTTGGAGTCTGTTTGGCGGACCAACATAGACGGAGTCTTGATGTTGGCAGCGACGTTCAGAATTTCCTTGAGACGGGGCACACCGAGAGTGACGTTCTTAGAAGACACACCGGCAAAATGGAAAGTGTTAAGCGTCATTTGTGTAGCGGGTTCACCGATGGACTGCGCGGCCAGAACACCTACCATCTCACCAGGTGCGACAGCGGCCTTGAGGAAGCGGTCTTCGAGTTCACCAAGAACATAGTTAAGGGCCTCCTTGTTTAGGCGATGCTGAACGACAAGCTTCTTGTATGCGAGACGAGCGCGAAGATGAGCCTTGAACAGATATGTTGCACTGCTCTGGGCCTCTCTTGACAGTTCGTCGGTGCCACGAATGACAACCAATCGCTCCAGAGTCTCCTGCACCTGTCTGATGGTCTCGATGGGGTGTAGGTTGCTGACAGCCTTCTCGGGGTTGATATTAAACCGCGCCTGAGCGGACCGGATCATACGCTGAATGTTGAGCGGCAACTGGAAGGACTCTAGGTTCTCGTCGGTCACATTCTTGCGGAGAGTCTGACGATCAAGTTTGATCATCTCGAACTCTTCGTCCAGGGCCCGTTGAACGTCAACGTCACCTTGGAACATAGTAGCACCCTCCAGCTTCGACACTGGAATCTCCGGGTAGTCCGTCGTGAGAACGTCAAGCTTGTATCCATCCTCAAAGTCGGCCTCGGAAGCCATGAGGATATCCATGGACTGGTTTTCAATGTGCGCGCCATCCAAACCATCTTCACCGTAGATGAACTCAACAATATCTCCCATAGAGTTACGCACAGTTCCATCGTACTTGACCATAACATCTTCGAGCGCCTTGACGAGACGACGTTGAATGTAACCAGTCTCAGCTGTCTTGACTGCTGTATCGATCAAACCCTCACGACCAGCCATGGCGTGGAAGAAGAACTCCGACGGCGTAAGACCGCGCAGATACGAGTTTTCGACGAACCCACGAGACTCTGGCGAGTAGTCATCCTTCGAGAAATGCGGCAGCGTCCGGTACTTGAAACCATAGGGAATACGCTGTCCTTCGACAGCTTGTTGACCGACGAGGGCAACCATCTGAGAGATGTTGACAGTGGAACCCTTGGAACCGGAGACGACAGTTTGGACAACGTTGTTGAAGTCCTTCAAACTGGTCTGAGCCGCGGTACCTCCACCCTCACGACCTTCGTTGAGGAACTTCTGGACCTTGGATTCGAATGTACCACGAATCGTCATACCAGGCATGGGCTCAAGCGCGTCCTTGGTAGCCGTCGCAATGATCTCTTCGACCTTGGCCTTGGACTTGCCAATTTCGGAGGCAATCTTGTCGGAGGTGGCAGGGTCTGGGATGGTGTCACCCACACCGAAACTGAAACCGTACGTAAGAAGCCACCAGTTACAGATGCGCTGGCAGGCATTGAAGAACTTGACTGCTGCATCCGGTCCGAGCTCGTTGAAGATGATGTGAATAACACCACCTGCAGAGGCTCCGACAATCTTCTTTGTGACCTGACCGTAAAGCAGCTGACCACCCTTGATAGCGAACGACTTGTCGACGATGTCGTTGTATGCATTGGGCTTGGAGTCCGCCTCCTTCTTCTCAATGTTGACCTCGCGTGGGAAAGCCATGCTGATAATCTGCTTACCAGTCCAGAGAGGCCGGGGCTTCAGAATGGCCGGCTCTGGA